TTGTGTGGGAATGTGCTAGATGCACCACTGTTCCCCAATTTAAGAAGGTCATGCAAAGGCTGAAGACTATAAACGAACCAGCTTTAAAGTATTTTGACAATATACATCCTTCATGTTGGGTTAAGGCATACTATAGTCACTGGCCTAAATGTGACAATATTACAAATAATATGGCTGAGGTGTGGAATGCAAAGATTGTGAATTACAGGTCCAAACCTATAATGACATTATGTGAGGAATTGAGGTGCTACATAATGCGAAGAATGGCAGCACACAAGAGGATTCTACAAACCTTTAGGGGTAAGATTACACCTGCACAACAGAAGAGGCTGGACCAGTTGAAGGTTGCAAGCAATTCTTGGACACCAACATGGACTGGAAACTTGGTCCAAGATCTGTATGAAGTCTCTGGAAAAGGGCAACGTGTTAGGGTGAATTTAACTCAACAATCTTGTAGTTGTAATGTTTGGCAACTGACTGGATTGCCATGTGAACATGCTATTGCTGCCATTGCACACAAGAATGAACCTGTGGAAAATCATGTTCACCAATGGCTGACAGTGGATGTTTTGCATGCCACTTATGAACACACACTCAACCCAGTCAATTCCCAACAATATTGGCCAGCTTGTGATGCCCCAAAACCACTTCCTCCACGCTTGAAAAGGCCTATTAGACGTCCAAAAAAGCATCGTAAGAAGGATCCCACTGAAGAGCTTACGAAGACAAACAAGAAGCTTTGAAAGACTTACACAGTTCAATGCTCCAAGTATGGTCAGACTGGTCATTACCCGAAGACATGTAAGGGACCCGCTGGTGGTTCAAAGTCAAAGACAAAATCGGTTAATGTTGAAGTTCAGTCAAGGACAGTTGAAGAAATCATCATGATTCAGGGCTGCCCTGCACCAAAGACAAGCAGCCAGCATGCAACAAGTGCAGTTGAACCAAACTCAAGAGCATGAAGAGACAGCAGCCCACCTCCATGCAATCCTGCTGAGGCAGTGACCAGTGAGACAGCAACTGCAGCTAGCAGTGGCACCAGGGCCAGATTCATGAGCTTCATGTCTACAACAGTGTTTAGGCCACCTAGGCCAGCTCCACATAAATGATTTGGAATACTATATAATCACTGACATTAGGCCAATTCAAATGTGATAGTTGGCATTTTTTTGTAATTAGGCTAGTTCATTTGAATTGTAATTAGGCCAGTTATTTGGAATTAGTTTGGTTTTGGCCCTGTTCAAATGATTCACCAATGGATTTTTTTTTATGCCTCTGGTTATGGCCATATTAATTAGGAACACTTTATTTTTTTGGAAGACTATTGTGTTGGTCTTAAGGGTATATTATGTCAGTTGGAATTGTAAGTACAATCCGATGAAATGAATGGAATATGTTCTGTGAAATACTATATCTTTGCCGTCATTACTATTTTGTATTGCTGTCATTAGTAATTGCACTGATACATCCTGCTTCTCAGTTGAGGTTTTGGAACAAGATTGTGTTGGTCTTCTTACAATCTCTTCGCTGTCATTGCTTGTCATTACAACTTATACTCATACTCTTTTTTGTTTCTGTCAATACTGGTGCTTATATTTTGTATGATGTGTCATTTGGGGTCATGTGTAAACATACCTGAAATTAGCACATTGGTACCTGTTATATACCTTATAGGTCCTCAACATTTTCTATCGAGGACCTTTTTAGTCCCTGTTATTTTCCACAATTGGCCACATTGGTCCCTAACAAATTCATCGGGGTCCTTTTTAGTCCCTGTTAAACATGACAGTGACACCAATGCCACAAAAAGTTGTTACCAAACCCACTGGTCACTCCCCCTTCTGTATAATTCCTTCCATCCTTGTTGGTAGTGTTCATACAGTCTTTTGCATTTTTAATTGGCATTTCCAGATAACTTAATACTACATTTTGTGCTTTCAGAACAATCAAGTTCAAGGACATTAACCAAATTATATACATTGCATAAACAACATCTCATTACATCCAAACACTGGACTTTCCATTACAAAGAAGCATACATATTACAGATTATAAATGAACATTTCACTCCACCCTACTACAAAGATATATACATATTACAAAGATAATGATAATAGACCCAGCAATCACCGTAGCACACCTACACACATGCATTATTTCCTTCTCAACCCTTTCAAAGTCTGCCTGCAACTTCATTGATATGTCTTCAATCTTTATACAGTGCTCATTAATCTTCTTTTTGTGGTCATTCACCTCCAGCTGCAGTTCATTGTTGAGCTTCATGTCCAAAAAGTTCAACTTGAATTCCATTTCAGCTACATTCAACTCCAGCTTGTTAATTGTCCAATCTTCCAGCTCCATGGTATTAGATGTAGCATCATCCACCCATGTAAAAAAGTTACAGTGTGGCTTCTTTTCCTAAACCAAATTCAAGTATACAGTTAATAACATTAACATTAGAAAAAGAACACATGAAAAAATCAACCTCACCTTGAAGTTGGGGCACCAAAAAATGATCTCTTAGGGTTTGTAATGGTCTTGGAGGTGTAAACAACATTGTGCCTCTCACATTTACACAATGGAGCAGCTCTCCTTCTTTCACTTCTGGACCCAAATGAACTACTTGAGCTCTCCCTTCCAGAAGAGATATTCATGACATAAAAACTAAGAATCAACCCTAAATCGTACAGTATAAACCCACAATCACTAAACCGTCAATCAATTTTCCCCAAATTCATGTGTTCAATCTTCGATTCAATCCCATGCTTTCTGGTTTAAGAAGAACCCTAAACCATACGACGACGTTCCTTGGATGAAAGTGAATTGATTCTGACCAACATGGATGATTCTCTCCAAACGACTTCGTTCCTGAACCAACGTGGCGTTCAGCATGTCACTTAACGTGACATATCAGCACCGTCAGTGACACCGTGAGTTTTGGATTAACAGAAGAACTGACGTGGGTCCTGTTTCTCTTTGTTGGGAACTATCTAACGAATTTATTTTTGTTAGGGACTAATTTGGGCACCGAGTTTTTTGTCAAGGAACAATTTGGGCATTTACTCTTTTATTTTTGTAATAGATTCAATTACTTTTAGTTTATGGGATTAATATCTCTTAGAGATAATTTTATTTTTACATAAATATAAAAATATGTGGGGCTCATTTTTTTTCTTCTTGTTCTCACATGGATCCCATATATCTTTATGTATATATAGGAGATAAGATTATTTCTTACATCATGAGAAATAATAATTCCTTAATTTATTATGGGATTTTGTTGTTGTTGAATTATTAGCTTTCGAACGAAGTAAAGTTGATAAAATGTCTGGTATAATAATCTATGGGGTAAATTATTTGTTCAGTTATTGAAGATAAGTTATCTCCAGTGACTCCTAAAATTACGTCATTTTGAATTAGTGAATGATCTTTTCGTAATTTTGTTTTGTTTTTTTATCCATGAATTTTACTGAAGCACTCGTCGTTAATTTGTCTAAAATTACGAAAACACCCTTCAATAATTCAAAACGACGTAGTTTTGGGGGTCAATTATCTCCACTGACTGAAAAAATACTAATTTATGATCGAAAATGCAATTACATAACTAAATAATGTATTTAATACTATAATTAAAGGGATAAAAATTTCTTATATTGTAGGAGAAATTTTTTATCTCTAACTCTCACATCGAAAGACATTGGACTCCTTTTTAAAAAAAAAAAAAAAAAAAAAGAAGCGAGGGGATCCACATCGATTATTTCTATAGATAATATACCTTATCTTCTATAACAGGATATTAATATTTCTTATAATTAAAATAGGCTTTAATATTGTTACATTGAATGCAGATAAATTATTTATATTCACTCTCAAAACGACGTCGTTTTGAGTTGAAATATTAAAAAATTATAATAATAAAAGACTATTATAACCTTAAAATAATCATAATTATAAAAACACATTGATTTCTGTCCCAAAACAATATTATTTTGGGTTGTGCAGATAAGTTTGCAAAAAAACAAAATTCATTAAAATAACTTGGAGTATCTTGTTACTTGTGGGAGTATATTTTCATGGATATTTATTTAAAAAGGAATACAAAAATCATACTGTAAGAAACTTGTTATTTCATATTATCGATACAAAATATGTGAGACTCACTTTTTAAAAAATAAATAAATAGTATGATTTAAGTCTCTCGTGTTGCAGAATAGGATGTGGGTTTCCTTCAAACACAATATTACGTAGGACCCATTGCTTTAATAAAATAAAATAAAAAGCCGAACACATTTTTCACTTAGTGAGCTGGACATGGTTTTTGTTTTCTTATTAGTTTTTTTAGTGTCGATGAAATATAAGTGTTTTGAACCTGTGTAGCGTGTACTAAATCTGTAATGTGCCCAGCAATTAATAAATACTTTGACTGCTGGGAATACAAATTTATTTTGTATTACTTTTACGGAATTAATATTATAAAAAATAATTTTATCTCTTATATATGTATAAAAGTATGTAAGCTAATATTTTTTCATTATCTCTCTTCTCTTTTCATTATCTCATATGAACTCATATATTTTTAAATATCTGTAAAAAATAATTTTATTTTTTTTAGAGAAACATCAAATCAATTATTAATTATGTGCTTAATTAGTACATCATTAAAACCATAACCGACTCCACCAATTCAATTTACTACTATCAATGTCATTGGACTATCCCGAGTAGATATACTTAATATTTTGTCCATCTCACGGTAATTTAAAGTTTATACCTAGTTATGGTAAAAAGTAAAAAATGGGAAGAGGGGTTTTTCAGGGAAAGCAATGTGCAAGAAGGAACAAGAGTAATGCATGCAGAGCCAGTGAACACATGGTTTGTCGGGTACACGTGTACTTTTTGTCTTCCTCTGAACCAAAACAACCGCAGGAAGGGGACCACACGCTTCAAACACGCTCTCTCTCTTTCTCTCTCTCTCCTTAATCCATTAATTCATATTCATCTATCGCTCTTTTTCTCCCTTCATTTGCTATATCACCTTACCTTCGTTGCAAATCCAGATTTTGCAGCAAGTACGAGACTCATTGGAACTGCGAAAGACCACAACTTCGGAAACTCCGATAGAGTGTGAATTAATTGTGTGGGAAACAGAGAATTGAAACAGAATGAGCACGAAGACAGCGAGACCTCGTACACGTGTGGGGAAGTACGAGTTGGGAAAAACAATAGGCGAGGGAAGCTTTGCGAAGGTCAAGTTCGCGAAGAACGTCGAGACCGGAAACTATGTTGCCATCAAAATCCTCGACCGTAATCACGTGCTCCGCCACAAGATGATGGAACAGGCACGTCATTTATCTATATTTATCTATATGATTATGAGTCAATAGTTTTAGTTTTCGACATGTTTCTCTTCCTTTCCATTTGTTTAAGGTTGCTTGCAAATGACTTGTAATGTTGCTTTTGTAGCTTGTGCTTCTCTGTATGCGTAGAAAATTATTAATTTTTTTTTTTTGCGATTTTTGTTTTTGTCCTTTAAAATTGGCAGCTGAACAAAGAAATTTCAGCGATGAAGCTGATCAATCATCCAAACGTTGTCAAAATATTTGAGGTACCACGCAGTTCTCTGTTTTTTCTTTGCCTGAATAGTGGAAGTATTCTCTTTCAACATAACAGAAATTAAACTTCTTATATTATATTATTGTTAATGTTATAATTTTTTATTCGATCAGAATACAGTGAATATAAAAATTGCTGTATATGACATAATTTTGGGGTTATCATTATCTTACAAGTCTCTTAAAACTACACTAACTAATGAAATCAAGCATCTCATATGGTGAAGCACGTGACAATATAGGCATATTTTTTGTATGCGCAAAAAAAAAAAAAAAAAAGTAGCCATGCTGCTTGGCAGTATATTTAAAAGTAAAACCGTTTTTACTCTTCTTACAATGCTTTCTCCTTGCATTGCTAGAGTGCTTAATTGCTTATTCATATTTTCGTAACTAAGGATAAGTACATACTTTTTATTTTTATGGTTAAGCCGAACTTGTGAGAATACGGTCTTATATATATATATATATATATATATAGAGGCAGGATATTCTTACACCGGTGTAAGAGTTAGAAGTCTTACACTCAATCTTGACCATTGATCCACTTGTATCCAATGGCTCACATTACTAAAAAATTTGAGCCGTTAGATATAAATAGGATCAATGTATAAGATTGAGAGTGTAACTTACACTGGTGTAAAATGATCCTAACTCATATATATATATATATATATATATATATATATATATATATATATATATATATATTCAAAATAATTAATTGTTCTCTGTTTAAAGCATAGGTGATGGCAAGCAAAACAAAGATTTACATTGTCCTGGAGTTGGTTAATGGAGGAGAACTATTTGACAAAATAGTAAGTTGCTCATTTATTTCATATTACATATTTCTTCCTACTATTTTCTGTCTTTCTTTAGAATACTCAAAGTTGTGTTTTTTAAGTACATTGATGTTTTGCATGGATCTTGCATCTAAATGAATCTAAAGAATTTCCCTTTTGCTTCTTAATTTGATTTCCAGGCTAAAGATGGGAGACTTAAAGAGGATGAAGCAAGAAGTTATTTCCAACAACTAATCAATGCAGTTGATTACTGCCATAGTAGAGGCGTGTATCACCGAGATTTGAAGGTCTGTAAACATCTTTAGCCCTTTCTTTTGCACCTGTAATTTAATTGATAGCTTGATAGGTGTAAGCAGGAATCAATTACTCTTTTCCTTGTTTGAGTTAAATTAAGGATCAGACTCATATTCAATGCACTATGCAGCCCGAGAATCTTCTTCTGGATTCAAATGGTGTTCTTAAAGTTTCAGATTTTGGACTGAGTACGTACTCACAGCAGGTAAGACGATATCTGTCGTACAATCAGCATATGTGCATGTTATAGATTTCTGATTTAGTGCACTTGTTCAAGGTTATAACTAAGTCTTTTCATTTGGCCATAAGAACTGTTAAGTATTGAAAACATCTGGTATTAGTTGACATAATGGAACTCTTTCTAGTGTCTCACTAAAATTATTCCACAAGCAATTGGCAACGTACCAACCAGAGCTAGCTTCCATTAAAATATACTATGTATCATGGATTGTTTATGGAACAAAATTGTTATGGATTAGCTTGACATAACTAATTGTTTGATTACATTATCCGTGAATAACTTGATTTTGGATTGTATGTTAGAAGTTCCTCGATTTAAGTATTTTGGCTTTTGATATTAAGTGAGCGGTTTTGCTAGCTAGCCTTTGGTGTTTTGAAACTGTCTCATCTTCACTTTCATTTTCGCGTTTGCATAAACTTAGGACTCACCCTGTTTAAATTCTTAATTTTTGTTGCAGGAGGATGAACTCCTCCGCACTGCTTGTGGAACTCCAAATTATGTTGCTCCTGAGGTACCTACTTTATGTCTTTGTGGATCAGATGGAAGACTAGATTTGTCCCTCAAACTGCGGTAAATGTTATTTGTGGTGTGCCATTTGTTTCAGGTGCTTAATGATAGAGGTTATGTTGGTTCTGCATCTGATATTTGGTCTTGTGGAGTCATTCTCTTTGTACTTATGGCTGGTTACTTGCCGTTTGATGAGCCAAATCAAATGGCACTGTACAAGAAAGTAAGTGATTGCAGAATATACTCCTTGAGAATAAAGAGTGAAAGAAAAGTTTCTTATGTCATTATGGTAATGGGGGGTGAAAATCTGAACATATATTTCAGATTAGCAAGGCTGATTTCGCATGTCCATCTTGGTTTTCACCTGAGGCAAAGAAACTACTGAACTGTATTCTTGACCCAAACCCTCTTACCGTGAGTTCTGAACTGAAAACTTTCAACTTTTACATGTATTTGTTTTCCTACTTGGGCCCTTACTCTTGTAGTTGTCTGATTCTGTTTGTGGTATTACTAATCCTGTTATTTAACCTTCAATATCTCTTATGTGGTTAAAGAATATCCTGCTGTAAGCATATACTTTTCTCTTTTAATATGGGTTGCTTTTTGCAGAGGATAAAAATTCCTGAAATCTTAGAAGATGAATGGTTCAAAAAAGGATACAAGCCAGCATCTTTTACAGAGGAAGAGGATGTAAATGTAGATGATGTAGCTGCTGCTTTCAATGATTCTAAGGTATGGTGTTTCTTACAATATTTCTATTCAATGTCTTTAGGCCATTGCTTCTTTTTAAAGTAACTCCTCTCGGGGACTTGTTTTTTACAATAATCCTGTGTAGTCAACATGTAAAAATTTTACTTATTTTCTCTCATTAAAAGATTTACTTACTATAATTTAGAAATGCAAGAAAGGGTCTGTGGAAGCTCTTCTCAATGTGTAATTTATTTATTCTCTTTGATATGTAGGAAAATCTCGTGACAGAGAGAAAAGAGAAACCCGAGTCTATGAATGCTTTTGAGCTCATTTCTAGGTCGCAAAGCTTCAATCTTGACAGCTTATTTGAGAAGCAGACAGTATGTAAAAAGTAGTTTGTGCTTTCATCATATTAAAATGTTATGCATTATAAAGGTTTTATTCAAATTACAAGTCACATGAAAAATTGTGAAGTATGTGATGTTTGGATCAATTTTTGGTTGATTTATGTTTAATTAGGAGCCTTATCTAAATTCAGTTTGTTTGTTTTTTTGGTAATTGGCTAACAAAGATTGATAATGAACATGATTATTCTTTCTGGACAATGATGCTTGTTTGTCCATTTTATTTTAACTCAACTCCATAGGGGATTGTAAAGCGGGAAACACATTTTACGTCACAGCGCCCTGCAAATGAAATTATGTCTAAAATTGAGGAAGCTGCCAAGCCTCTGGGCTTTAATGTTCACAAGCGAAATTATAAGGTAATAACATATGTCTATGCATTAATTACACATACTAGTCTGCATTATTTATTTGCCAAGAAGTATCTTTGGCGTGATTAGTCTTTTGTAAAGAAGGTGAACGCTTTGAACTTTTAATGTTATAGATTACTCATACTTATCTGGTTTAAAATTCTGCAGATGAAGCTGCAAGGTGATAAAACCGGAAGGAAGGGTCACCTTTCAGTGGCTACTGAGGTACTGTCTGGTTCCTTTATGGTTGCAGGCCTTTTGTGTTTGTATTGTTTGTGGGTAAATTACTCCCAATTAAACCCCGACTAGTGAGAGTGGGGATGAAGACAATCTTTGTACGCTGCATTACCATGACATATCTATAAAGAGGTTCTTTGTGGATTCGACTTTTTAGTCACAAAGAATTAACTTTAGAATTGTTTGTGGCTACGAATGATAGTTTTAATTTTTATTCTATTATTCCCATATTTATTCCCGAATAATAAATTCTAGTCCTTGTCTCTAAGAGTGGAAAATGCTGAAACCCAACTGTAGCTACTGGTTGAATATTTTGGATTAAAACGCATGGCAAATTTTCATTATATTTATTTAATCAACTTCATGCACTAAAATAGTGTATTTTTCATTATATTTATTTAATCAACTTCATGCACTAAAATAGTGTATTGTTTTGACTTATGAGGCAAGGATTTTTCCTCACCGTAGGAGCTTGACTCTTGGTTATACCTAATTCAATGTGTCACATAGATTTCACTCTTGTTGATGAGGAATGGAGCCTTTCAAGCTTCAATTACTTGACAACTGAAATTGTCAAAAAAAGTTTGCAATACATTTTCAATGGTTGCTTACAATTTGTTTGCTCTGACCGGAGATGATTGGTACAACTGGTTGCTATGGTTACAGGTTTTCGAAGTGGCTCCCTCTTTGCACATGGTTGAGCTGCGAAAGACTGGGGGTGACACACTAGAGTTTCATAAGGCAAGTGAACATTTTAATTCTGATTTTGTTGTTATTGTGGAACAAGAAAAGAAATCTATTCATTTTTGGAACTTATTTTGATCTCTTACTACTACTGAGATAAGAACCAATGTTTCTAGTTCTGTTATCAAGTGAATGCCTCAAAGTCTCTTTCATTTCCTTTGTATTTTTGTTGAGATATACGTCTCCTCACACGAGAGCTCACTGGGCTTGAAGAGTGGACAATGCACAGACCCACCTACCTGTGCGAAGAAAGAAATTCCACTAGAAAGAAAGTGGGGAGCGGTGAGAATCGAACTCGGTACACCGAGGCTTTGATACCATGTAAATAACCAATTCAACCCAAAAGCTTAAGCTTTTGGGTGAGGTTACATTAATGATTTTATATATCTCAACACGCCCCCTCACACGAGAGCCCATTGGGCTTGAAGGGTGGACAATGCACAGGCCCACCTACCTGTGCGAACAAATAAATTCCACTTGAAAGAAAGTGGGGGCGGCGAGGATCTAACCCGGGACACGAGGCTTTGATACCATGTAAATAACCAATTCAACCCAAAAGCTTAAGCTTTTGGGTGAGGTTACATTAATGATTTTATATATCTCAACATATTTTAAGGAAAGAACAATGACATCATGTAAATATGTCAGTGCTGTTGTTGATTGATGCTAACCTTATTCTTTGATTTGTATGCAGTTCTACAAAAACTTTTCATCAGGGTTGCAAGACATAGTATGGCATCCTGAAGAAAAATAGTGAAGAATCAAGGTACCCTCTTCCTCTATCTCCCCCTGATATGTGCTTTTATGCCATGGAAGGACACACCATATTAGCCTTATCAGTTTCATTTGTTCAATGATTCTTCTGACTAATTAATTCTTTTATTATACTGCAGATGCTAGAGCTATGCACTGGTTGATGGAAGGCATTATGTTTGGCTAAAGCTGGAACATATGTTAGTTGGGAGAGTCTGGTTTAAATGTTTGATAGGAGAAAAAAAATAGATCCTACAAAACTTAGGGCATATAATTCCTTCAACTTTAAATTTGTACTTATCAAAATATTTCATGATCTTTATTCAGTGGCTCAAAATAACTTTTAAAAATGATAGTTTCCCAAAGAGATTTGAGTACAATCTAGTTTTTTTCTTTTTGATTACATGCTGAGACTCGGGATAATATAATTGAACATAAATAAGTATCAATAAAATTTCTTATAACTTAAAAGGTAATATTCGATTTACTCTTCTGTGTTTCAAATATAATTTCAATGCGGGGTAATATAAGGAGAAATGTTCATTGCTATAAAGACTTTGTTACAAATTTGGTGATGGGAAAATTTCAAATAACTGAAGTATTAGGCACTCATTCATAATACTTTTTGTGATAATTTCTTCGTATCATGTAGTGGTGTTGCACTAAAAAGATTATACTCTGACGGGGAATAGGGGCTATTATGACTGCTCAACTATAACCGTTTTTTATTTTTATTTTTATTTAAATTATATGTTATTTAACCATTAAATAAAATTAGTCTTTACGTTTACCCTTATAAATTTTTTGACTCCGCTCATATTTATTCATATCCCCGTGATATAAGTTATGTTAATCGAGCTTTTTTTTTTTTTAAGACTCACAAAAAATCTAAAATACCTATATGATTGCGCAGAATTACAAGATTTGACTTTTTTTAAAACAAAAAACTAGAATTTTATTTCATACATGCAAATTTTTTAACCTTTTCCATTGAACTAACAAAAATTTCATTTTCTAAACAATTATTTTATCTTCAGAAAATGAGAAAATTCTCCAAGAACATCAATATCTCATATATGATCCGGATCATGTTCTCTTATAATCTCCACTCTAATATGTTCTTGACTTATGACCTTTTAAGTTTGTTCTAGAACTCGTAAGTAAAAATTCAATTGTTAAAATTGAATCAGACAAAAATAAAAATGGACTCGGTTCATTAATTTTAACCGGCATCATTAAATAACTCAATTGCAGTAACATGAAATACAAAAAAGCATAACGTATGAAATGTGAAGGTCAAAATATCTTCTTTCTTTTCTTTTCTCTTTTTTTTTTTTAATAATTAAGGACCCACCAGGGCAACTGCTCAATTTAACATATTTTTGTATCGCTCCAAACGGATTAACCATGAATCTTGTTATAAGGCTGAAACATACTCCTTTGGATGGTTCATTCGTGATCAAACCTGCCATTAGGCCCAGACAACAAATAGTTATGGACCAGAATATAAGGTTCATAACTCAACAACTTAACAGTATATTAATGATGGATAGGATGATAAAAGACTCAATTGCAACAAGATAAGGTCTCACAACAACCTTATAATAGACTAGGTGAAGGTCCAACCAGATAACTCATTATAAATAGGAATCATATCCATCAGGTACACACTTTTTGGCTTGTCTTTACTTCTGTCATCATTGTGCACATATCTCACACCTTGACTAATGCCGTATCTTTAGTTTCGCATCCTTGCAGAATCTCTCTCATAAATATCCGTAAGCGTACAAATCTAATTGTTGCTGTACATAGTATAGAAGTCCCACATTGTGTATATGTGTGTGTATTTCTTACTTAGTTTAATATATAAATAAAATCTCCTTCGTGTAGTTGACACAAGGATTACAATGTATACCTCTTGTCTCTTGGTAATTAACATGGTATCTAGAGCCTAACAAGAGGAATCCTAATCCGCGTTTTTTCCGGTGGACCACTGTCTGCTGAGTAAAAAAAAAAATTATGTCAGTTTCCGGCTTCCATATATCGTTTACGGACCTGTCTGATCACTGCCGCCATTAGGCACCACTGTCCACCACCATCTCCGGCGACTTTTCCGGCAATTTTTCCGGTGAAACCCATATCGATCTGATCTCCACGAGAAGGCGCTCCTTTCTGTCCAGGACCCATCCTCAGATCCTCTTACACGCGCTCTCACGCGCGTCAAAAACCGGCTGCAACCCGTTTTGTTGCAGCGGCGCGTCCCACTCCGGTTGGTCGTCGGACCACCACGGTTCCCTTCGTCTTCTCCTTGCGCACTTGGATCTGTCCTCACTTTGTTGTTTCGACTTCGTTTCGGCTTCCTACGGTGTCTTTTCCCTTGCTGGTCACTATTCACACACGTTTCTTTGCTTTTCGTTGCTGTTCATTTTTGTTTCAGGTAACCCATGGCTGATTTGTCACCCCACGATGCATCCAAGGGTTCTCAAAAGGCTGACCCGCCTGTTTTTTCTAATTATGTTAATGTTCTGCTGCACGTCGACAAGTTGGATGGCTCCAATTATGATTCTTGGGCTTCTGATCTCCGACTTTGGCTTGATGGACATGACTACATTGACCATCTCATTACTAAGGCTGAGTCCATCTCGGTAGATGTACGCCCTCATTGGAAAAAGGTTGATGCTCAGTTATGTAGCATCATCAAGTCTACCATCCACTCGTCCTTGAAGCAGATTTTTCGTGCTCATGTCACTTGTGAGTCTGTTTGGCGTCAGGCCAAGTCACTTTTTACTAATGACACTCAGCGACTCTATGGCGTTTGTCAAAATTTGATCACTACTATTGCTGCTCACCGACTTGATGTCTCTATGTCTGCTTACTTGGGAAAAGTTCAGGGCCTCCTTCATGATTTCAATGAACTGTTGCCGCCTGCTGCAGATCCTGCTAAAGAACTTGAGCAACACAGCACGTTCTTCATGCTCATGGCTCTTTATGGTTTGCCCTCGGAATACTCTGTCAACCGGGATCAGATCTTGGGTTCTACTATTGTTCCATCGCTGGACTCTGTTTGGTCTACGTTGCTTCGCATTCCACCTAAGACTGCTATGGAACCTGCAGTATCTGCTCCCTCTTCAATTGACCCATCTGCCCTTGTCTCCAAGGGTTTTGCACGTGGACGCAAACCCTCTACGAGACGTTTTCTCTGCACTCATTGCAACAAGCCGGGCCATACTATTGATCGTTGCTGGGATCTTCACGGTCGCCCTCCTCGCTCCGCTCATTTTGCTCAGACTACTGTTCCTGCCTCGGACTCTGCTTTGATTGCTGGATCACAGCCACCTGGTACCACTGCCTCTGGTGTACACACGGGTAATTCCTTTGCTGGTGTTTCTCACTCGCCCTCTCTTGGTCCATGGATTCTCAATTCTGGTGCATCTGACCATATTTCTGGTAATAAGTCTTTATTTACCTCTCTCTGTACGTCTAGTCCCCTGCCAGTATCACTATGGCTAATGGGTCACTGGTTCAGTCCCAAGGGATTGGCACTGTTCTCTTTTTTCCTTCTATTTCTATTGAGAATGTGCTTTATGTTCCTCGTTCTCCTTTCAATCTTATTTCCATTAGTCGCTTGACTCAATCCCTTGACTGTATTATTTCGTTCACTAAAGAGTCTGTCATTTTGTAGGATCGGAGCTCGCGGAGGACACTTGGCGTCGGATCTGAGTCCAATGGCCTTTATCAGCTTTCAACTTCTGTTCCAGTGTGCTCTGTTGTGGATTCTCCGCTTACTATCCACGCTCATTTGGGTCATCCAAGTCTTGCTAAGCTCCAGAAGCT